TATCAGAAAAATCTACTTGAGTACAGTAACGAAGTATTTGTACTTCGTTACTTCCCATCTCTGCCTCCTGCACACCATTTCCTCCTGTGATCATGTGACACATTTATAAAAAATATCACGAAAGGCCAGGAGGCAAGCTGTGATCCTCCATGAGTTTAGTTTCATTCCAGGAAGAGATCTGATAATAATATCTGTATCAGGTTTCCAAATGGGCCAGCTCCACAGGTGCAGATCTATTCAGTCCATTTCTATAGTGAAATGATGTCAGAATTAAAGTCTCTTGGAAGTTTAGCCCTTGATGGGCATCTGTTTATTGTTTATTTATTTGGATCCCCATTAGCTGTCAGTAATTTGACAGCTACTCTTCCTGTCTGTCTGCATCCGTCTGCGATTGAATAAAGTCTCTCATTTTGAAACTTTACAGTAAGAGTTTTTTCTCAGGATGGATTTATTCTGTTTATCAGTTAGTTGTTTTTAAGGTTTCTGTTTCTGACCTTACACTGATCTCAGATTACCTTCTGGGGTATTTCATATATTCATACATACATTGTATTGCCAAAAGTATTTGTTCACCCGTCCAAATTATTATTATTGATTCAACTGTTAAAGTTGTTCCAGTCACTTCCATGGCTGCACGGGTAAAAAATAAAGCCCCTAGGAATGCAGACTGTTGTTACGTTTGTGAAATAATAGATCACTCTTCTTAGATCAGCAAATTTCTTCCTGGAACTGAGACGGATGCCACCTGTGCAACAAATCCAGTCAGAAACTAAATATTCCACAGTAAACAGGCAGCTAAATCGTTAGGATATGGGAATGTTTGGGAACGACAGCAACTCAGCCACCAAATGGTTGGCCACATAAACTGATGGAGCGGATGCAGTGGAGCACGGTGGGAAGAGGGCGCCAACTAGTGGGGAGTGGAGGCCTAGTGGTTAGGGCATAGAGCTTGGAATCCAGAGGTTCTGTGGTTAGGGCATAGAGCTTGGAATCCAGAGGTTCTGTGGTTAGGGCATAGAGCTTGGA